AATTTGTTCCATCATCTTTTGGAAAGCTTCACTTACATCACAAAGATTGAAGAGAGTGCACTTAAATCTATGGCAACCTCTAGGCATTATGAATATAATGTACCTAGATTCCTCAGCCAGTGGAAGCTGAAAGAAACCACTTGAAGCATCGGTTTTGCAAAATACTTTAAACCATGCATTGCTTGCAAAGTATCATCTACTTTAAGGAGTATTTAACATTCCCTAATAACTTGAGGTCACAACATACTCTAGTTCACCAGATTTCTTGGAAACTATCACAAGGTTTGGCACCCACGGACTAGCTTTTTTGACCTCAATAACATCATCTTTAAGCATTCTGTCAAGCTCGTTGTTAACTGCTTCAATTTGGCTAAGGGTTATTTGTCTTAGATGCTGACTAACTGGTTTAGCACTGAGATCAATGGCAATTTTATGATTGAAGTTGGGTACTTTCCCTATTCCATGAAAAATTTCATCAAACTTGTGAAGCGAAGAATCTAATTCACTATTTCTGCTGGCTTTAGGGGGGCATGGTTTGTCTCCAATAACATTCACTTGTTTGATTATCTCCAAATCCAAACTTGAGTCTCTACGTAGGAGGGACTCTGAATGACCCTCTACAACATACACCTTGGCTGTTATCATGTTCTCACCTACTTTAAGAGTAGCAACAAAATAACCCTTTCAATTTAATGCATCCTTTTGTCCATAAGCAACAAATCGCTTTTTGGTTTTTTCAATTCATAATGTTTGAATTGAGATTTGTACAATTCAGAGAAAATGATGTTGTACTTACATGCAGTATCCATTATCATTTTTGTCTTCCATCCATTTAAGTTCACTAGGACTGAACTATCTTGTTTGTTTCTTGAATACACAGGTTCCTTCTCATCATCAGAGCTCGTTTCTTCATTAATCCATCCTGCTCTCAGGTTGTGTGCTTTCTTGTCAGATCTCTTTGGATTCTTGCTTGACTTCAAGTTACTGTTTCAGTTTGAACAGCGGTGGGGTTTCTTAGTCAATTTACACACCCTGGCAAGATGACCCATTTTTTTGTAGGCAGTGCATCTCAAGCTTATCTCACCACATTCATCAAGACTGTGTCCATCCATTCTTCGACATTGGTAACACGTGACGTTCTTGCTGTGTCTGGTTCTATCTAGTTCTTTAGTGTGCATTTGATCCACTTGTATTGGGTTTTCTTTTGTTCCTTTCTTAATCAAGGTAGCATCCTGTTTTGAGGTTTGGTTGCTTCTCGCTAGTTTGAAGGTCTTCCTGAAGTCCAGATCATCTTGCTGTAGAAGTTTTTATGAAAGGCTCTTTGATGCACATTTCTCCCAGATCTGATCTTGGATCATTTCCTCTAATGTGCCAAAATCGCGTGTCTTTGTTAGTTCTCTAAGGGCAGTGTGATCGGTATCAATCGTTTCATGTGCCCTTTGTCCTCTGAATTGGAACTTGTATCTTTGGGAAACCACGTTTCTTTTTGGGGAGAAGACGTTTTCCAATGCTTCCTTGGTTTCATCTAGGACCGCTTGGCAGAATCTTAAAAATTCTTTGAACTGTGGGACCAAGGCAGTGCTAAAGAGTCATTTGCTAGGTAGGGTTGTTCTTCTTCGCAGAATGTCAGAATGTGATAATAAACAGTATCAAAAGCAGCAGATAAGTTATCTCCTTTCTCAAGCAATTTTTTGAGTGTGTCCAAGTTATGAGCCAAGCACAAATATTTTCCTTCATTCAGCCCATCAGTAAGCTTAGAGCTAAATCTATAATGATCTTTGTTGGCTTTCTCTCTAAGCTGAGGTAGCTTTTTAGTTAACCCACATGTAGGCTGTGTATTCTAAGCAGTCGAGCTTCATACCATACTGCACCTTTGGTTGTGGTGTTTTTCTTTAGATACTGCAAAAAGGCAGTACAAACTGCATAACTTGTCTGGTCTAGGCTTACTAATAGGAAACAATCTTCTCTCCCTCTCTTGCCCTTAACTTTGGCCATTGCTTCTTTCTCCTCTCTCTTATTTCCACACAGGTACGTAACATTTGGAAAATGAACTCATGCTTCTTGGTGTTTTTAAAGAAGTCTGCTAGCCTTTTCATTTTATTCTAATTCCTTCAATGCTAAATAAGCAAAATTTATTTCATTTTTAAATCCAAAACTTTTTTGTTTAGACCATTGGAGGGCATTTGGGTTGATTTTCTTCCCTGGAAAAGACAGTTAATTAGGTCCAAGTTGAGGTCAACTTGCTAGTAGATAGGACTAGGAGTTGCAGTTGCAGTTGCAGATTCAACATTTTTGGGACTAGATGCCCTGCCTCATTGGCTTCTTTGCTTAATAAAAACCAATCCTAGGTAGGTTCTGATTTTTGGTGTCTAGCAATGGAATATCACTTTTGGAGTTACTGATTATTTTTGTCTTCCACATAGTTGCTTGGGCCACAAAAAATATAGTGCAAGTCGACACACACGAGAGAAAAACTGATGATTGGTTGGTATAAACTTGTTATCAGCACTGTAATTATAAAATACATATTGAAAATATGTACACAACTAAATAAAAGAATTAAACGGAATATCATGTCTGTATGGGAAATAATACATAAAAAAAGAAAAACAAAAGATGTATACATTACTAATGAAAATGGGAATGCTCATATCAAAATCGAACAAACACCTTAATCACTAAGAATTCCCTTTGGAAGTTTTATTTTACAAATCTTGCAATCAAGCAATATTCCTTGATGGATTGGGTACACATAGCCATTGATGTTCTAAGTGTGAAAGACAGTCACCTGGATGATATTCCTTTATGAACTTTGTCCTAATTTTGCAGTCAGTCATCAGGAATGAAGAACTTTGAAAAAGAATTCTCTCCTTCTGTCTCACCTAAAGAACCAGTAGTTCAAACTAGGCCAAGTAAAATGAGCAAGAAATGGGAACCTCCAAACTGTGTGTGTGCACATTATCACAGCAATGATAGTTGCCCCAGACTCCTGTGTGATCTTCATGTACCAATTGCCACACTGAGAGATTGAATTTAGATTGAAAAAGTGCTATTTGGCATGGGACTCGTTGTTATAGTTTTGAATTGAACTGAATAGGGTTGGGCACTGTTCAGTGACAGTATTTATAATGATTATTTTTCTTGTAAAACCCTTAAACTACTCATACTGATCACTTTTATAGTGTGGTGGCCAATTGCTTCAGATTACTATGTTAAGACCAGTCATTACCCACATATTCTCTTCTCGAGTGAATTGAGACAGAGCACATTATTAGAGATTTAGAATTTTTGCCACTCTTCACTTTGAAATGTTAATGTTTGTGACAGTGCTATGGAAGTGGTAGTATACTCCACTTTTTCCTAGGACATTGTCTCTCTTCTGTTCACTTTGGTGCCTCTCATTCTTGCATCCATTTCCTGCAGCAAAATTAAGCTTGGCATCAACATTCAAAGTATTCAACAGCAGACTCTTTTTTTCCTTTTTCTTTTTTTCTTTCTTTTGTTTTATCAGACATTTTATTTTTTGTAATTGATTTAGGAAGAATTGATTGGGTAACAAAAATTTTGGTTGCCATGGCCATTGCCTTTTTGCCATGGTTTCCAAAGTAATGGCCCATGGTTAATCTCTACTTGCGTTCAAAGTTGAAGAAGTGGTAAATACCTTTAACTCTTAAAAACACAAAGGTTTTTTTTTCACTTTTTCACTTTCAGTTTGCTTTGCTCTTTCTCTCAATGGCATTATTTTGACCTGCCATTTAGAATTCTCATAATCCATCTGTCGCGTACCCAAGTGTAGGGAACGGTAAGTGTCAACCACAGCATGCAAAACTTGATTTTCTCAGCTTTATTCACAAACCAAATATCGCACACATGCGGTGAAAACTGCGTAGCAAATTATGATCGCGTAATTAGAAACAAAGCTAAAGAAATTACAAGCAAATTAGAATTCAAGAAAGGCAAAAAGCGATCAATATGTACAATGGTAACTCATGTCTGATCCTGCGTAAAAAGAAAGGTGAGCAAATAACTTCGAAAAGGTAACTCCGGTGACTCCAAAAGGAAAACTCCAACTACTCCAATACTGAACACTCCGATCACTGAGTGGTTACGCAAGCGATTCCTTATTTAAGCTAGATTGATAGCTAAATCACATGGTACAATAAGCTCCAATTAATGATTAAAAACATGAACAATGGAACGATAAAAAGCGATCATAAAAATAAACAAAGCTGCAATGATTAAATTATATGTGGAAACAAAACACGAATTCTAAAGTTTCTTTTTGCTACATTACGGATACTTAAACGTTCATCACACTCCTTGCCCAAGGATTTTAATCCTTGCTAATTATTTGTTGCACATCCTTGTGATAGGCTTGGTTGAATCGTCATTCCATCATCAGGTAGTAGCAAGAGAAGCTCCTTGATGAGTCGTAGATAGGTATTTCTTTCCCCGTCTCTGATGACCTCAACTTTAACCTTTCGAACTCTGTCATCCTCGCTTCTTATTGCCTCCACGACTCGTCCCAGTGGCCAGTCGTTCTGATGCTGCGGCTCGTCTCGCATGAGGACGACATCTCCTGCACACAGGTCCCGCCATGTCTCTGTCCACTTTCATCGGGGCTGCAAGCTCTGCAGGTACTCCTGTCGCCATCTCGTCCAGAACTGCTCCGCCAGGAATTGAACTCTCCTCCAACAACGACGCATGTAGATGTCAGGGGGGAGGAACTGACCTGGGGGTGGTCCAGTTGGATGTGTTTTCATAGTGAGTAACATTGCTGGAGATAGAGGCTGAGGGTCGTCTGGGTCGGATGGCAGCGCAGATATTGGCCTGGCATTGACGATGGCTGCCACTTCTGCCATCAGCATGACCAGTAGCTCGTGTGTCAACTGAGTTTTGCCCAATTCAGCGAACATAGCTTCCAATACTCTTTGGATGGTATTGATCTGCCTCTCCCATACACCGCCAAAATGTGATGCGTGGGGAGGGTTGAACTCCCATTAACATCCGTACTCTGTCACGAATCTCTCCACTCTCTCCTTGTCGAGTTCTGATGCTGCTTCTCTGAGCTCTGTTTTGGCTCCGATGAAATTGGTGCCTCGATCGCATCTCAGAAGCTTAGCGAGGCCTCGTAGTGCGAAGAATCTCCTTAGCCCATAGATGAAGGCACTAGCATCCATGGCTTCTAGGACTTCTATGTGGATGGCTCTACTGCTAAGGCATGTAAACACCAGACCCCAGCGTTTAGCGTTTGGAGCTCCTCCTCTAGTCTTGCGAGTTTGTACTGCCCAGGGGCCGAAGACATTGAAGCCCACGTTAGTGAGGGGAGTGCAGACTTCAGTCCTATCGTGCGGAAGGTCTGCCATGCGCTGCTCCAATGGAGGTCCTCTCAGCTTCTTGCAGGGAACGCAAGCTCTGATGACCTTCGTTACAGTGTCGTGACCTCCAATAAGCCAGAATCCTGCTTGTTGAATGGCTCCTCCAGTAATTTGTCTCCCTCGGTGGTGCACTTGGACGTGGTAATGTTTCACTACAAGCTGCGACACATGGTGATTCTTTGGTAACACGATTGGGTGTTTTTCCCCATACTCCATCTCTGCTCTCCTTAACCTGCCTCCGACGTGCTGGATCCCATAGCTGTCAAGGAATGGGTCAAGGTGGTACAGTTGTGAGCCTTTCAGGGATTTCTTCGCACTGTGTTGGACTTCTCTTGGTAGCTCAGGCTCTGTTCTGGCGTCTTGCAACAACTCACTAAATGCTGCTTTCTGTGTGGCACTGATTATGACGTGCAGAGCTTGATCTCATTCTTCTATGGTTGGGGGTTTGAGTTTGCTCGATACTTTAGGTGCTTCGCTCCTGGGGTTGGCTCCTCCTGCTTTGGAGTCTCTATGGCGCTTGAATTCTCTGACCAAGACGATAAGATTGGCGATTGCGCGTTGCAGGGACCTTAGGGAAGAAAACTTCTGGAATCTCTCTGTCCAAAGGTCCGGTTCCTTGCTTCTATCCATTGTGACTTTGGCGCTGAGAACTCCCTTGCGAACTTCAGGATCGCTAGCACTTAGTGTGAACGTTTCATCAACTTGGGGGTACTCTCTGGTTTCTTAAGAAATCCTGGGCCTTTGAGCCAGCTCAACTCCATTAGCTTGTTAGTGGGAACCCCGCATGTGGCCAAGTCTGCTGGATTCTGCTTGCTCTCCACATATCTCCACTGCTCTCGAGTAGACAGACTTCTGATTAGCTGTACTCGGTTGGCCACATAGATGTAGAATCGACGGCTTTCGTTTGCGATGTAGCCTAGCACCACTTTCGAATCCAGGGTTCTCAGTAGAATTTTGTACAGCCGTTGCTTTGGTAGTTACAGGCGTAACCCTAATATACACACCCTTTGGGCGTGTAACTTGGGCCCATAGGGCCCAAGCTGCTAGGGGGGTCCAGGGTCATGCTCCCCCGGGAAATTTTTTATTTAAGATGCTCAGAAATGCTTTTTCCTTCCTTTTGGGGGCATATTTTCTCATTTTCTCCAAACAAGTTTAAGTACATTTTGTAATCTGTTCAGTGGCTTCGAACTATGGAAAGTTGAAATTATCTCTTATCAAACTGAAAACTACACTGCAATATTCAATGAAATATTAACCTGCAATAACAATGCTTTGCTTTCTGAGTTAATGGCATTCATTTTATACAAAAATAATTATTAGGTAACCAGTCCTCTCCAAATGGGGGCACCCACTTACAAAAACTAATTCTCAAGGCCACACTGACCCAGTAACTGCTATATATCTAAATGAGAAAGAGTATAAGATAGCGCAAATATTTGTTAATGAATGAATCTGAACAACAACTTTGATCTAACTCTTCTCCACAACGGCAGTGATTTACTGTGTTCTTCACTTTCTTTGTTACTTTTTACTGTGATTTGTTTACTGTTTTAACTGTCATCGTCACTCTCATCTGTCCCATCCTCTTGCTCACTCTCGCATCCAGTATGACAGAACTGCAGAAGCATATTCTTCAACAGTAGCGTGCTGTGATCAGCATGAATCATTTCGACCTCCAGTTGATCTTCAAGTTACTGTACCCTTACTTCTAGTTCAGTTCTACTAGATCGATTCTGATCTACACTTGAAGCACCAGCTTCTGTTTCACTTTCTTGCACGTTTTGTCTGCTAGGTAGCTTCCTTCTCTCTTTCGCTGCTACAAACCTTGTTGAAGCTTCCTGTATGATGGCAGAAGCTTCATCTGAGCCAGGAAGTGGTGCATTGATCAATAAGTGTAGCAAGCTGTCGAGCATCTTGTCTGCGAGCCTGTTTCTTAGCCTTGTTTTAATATGTTTAATTGCACTGCCTCCTCTCTCGGGCCAGGCATTGGTGACAGGTATGCTCTGTGCCAATTCTGCTAGCGAGACAAGGTTTGGAAACATGAAGCTGTAGGACTTTGAACTTGTCAGTTTGGCCAGCTTTTCCTCACCATATCTTTTGAGCTCTGGTGAATTCCTTTCAGGGATGGCTTTGAAAGAAGCCATTCAGCCATTCAGTTGACTCTGGAACTGCGTAGTTACATCATTATGGATAGCTCGATCATTCCAAACTTGCCATTCTCCTCCATATCCTGGCTTAACTGGGCAAGGATTTCATCTTTCTCACTCACAACTTTATCCAACTTTGCTATACAGGCAGAAATTGCTGAAGGAATTGCATCAAAACTAAGTTCCCCAAATTGAAAAGCTTTGCTGAGGATCGCCAGGGGAGGCAAAACAGCATCCATGATGTAAATTGCACCAATAAACTTGTGATGCCGAGTCTGGGTTAACAAACCACATGCTGTTGCATCTGATTCTTTAAAGAAATCAAACACAGTAATATGCACCACAAACTATTGCTTCATAGATTCCACTGAAGCCTTGTGTGAAAGCCATCTGGTTGCTGCTGCTTTCTTGGCTTTCTTTACTCTCTTTTTGGCCTGCGCCATTTGCTCAGTAGGAAGGAGCTTAAGAAGTTCCATTTGTACCATCACTAACTTGGCCGTTTTCTTAGGAGAGTAGTCATAAAATTTCCACACTTGATTCAGCAATCTTTCCACGGTCAGCAAGTACGTCAGTTCTTTGCACGTGTCGACACACGCCAATGCTAACCGGTGACACACACAGTGAATGTTAACAAGGTCAGGGACTTTCTTTCGGATGTGTGCGACCATTCCATTATGTGCCCCACGCATTGCATTGGCCCCATCAGAAACACAAGACTTCATCTTCGAAATGTCAAGAGAACATTTTTCCAGGATACCTTCAAGAGATTCTGCAAGTGCTTTACCTGTAGCTTCAGACAGATGTTCTGTGTGCAAAAACTCAGTCCTGCTTTTCCCCTCATGGACGTACTTAACAAAAGTGACAAACTGTTGAAGAACAGAAACGTCTGTCACTTCATCAACAAGACAGCCAAAAAATTTGGACTTATTCACTCTTTCAGTTACTCTGTCCTTCACAACTTGCCCTAGAATGAGAAACATTTCTTGCAGTGTACCTTCCCCAGTATATGTAAAATGTTTGAGGTTTTGTGAACCTGCCCGTTCCATCAAGTTTAAAAGGGACAAAAGTTTTTTGTTAGAAATCTCTTCTTTTCCCAACCAGTAGATGGACATAAAGACTTTTTTCAATACTTCATTTTCACATTGCTTCCTTGATTCATGCTCTTTCTGGAAAGGGGAAATTTGCTTGAGATGCTCCTTTTCAATTGTAGAACGGTGCATGTCACTATTGAAGTGCAGCTGAATGGCTTGAGTTATCATTCTAACACATGGTTTGGTGTTCCATGTGTAGTCCTTGTTTCTTTTCGTACATGTATCATGGAGTCTGCACAGCAAACAAAACATCCCAACATTTTCTTGGTAGGCCAGCCACCAAACTCCAGTCGAAGGCTCATAGACATCATGGCTTTCAGATCTTTGGAACAACCATCCATGCTAAAATTTGTGAATTCGACTTCCCGAGGCCGTAGAAGCTTTGTTAAACTTAAAGGCACCACCTGAAGGATCTGAAAGAGAATGGTAGTCCTTCTCTTTGCATGTATAATATGTGTGTATTTGCCCCTTCTGTTTATCCAACCTGGACAGTGATGATAGGATTTCTTCTTGAGGGATTTCCGATGGACAGTTGTTGCTAGGGGGACGTTTTGACAAGGGGTTTGAAGCTGATGATTTGTCATTGACCTCTATATTTTTAGAAACATCATTTGTGCCAACAGCTAATGCTTCAGTTTGCCTAGAGGTCCTGTAAAAATTATTTTACAAATAGTTTTAAAAAGCTGTAATAAAATACTTTTTAAACTATATTAGTGTTAGTTTCTGTCTTGTTTTGAACTTTCACTATATCCTCAATTAACTTTTTGTTGTATAAAAATAAAATTGCCATTGTGCGAACAGTTAGTGCCACAAAGTCTGGAATACTGTAGTTCTGCTCTGGTCACAGTGCCGAATTCCTTTGGGTGGTAGCAGTGGGGAATGGAAAGGTGCTCTAACTCCACAAGAGAATCTCTCCAACGCGTCCACCGGTTCATCATTGCGGTGGGAAGAGGGTCGTCCCAGACTAAGGGGGTTTTGTTCTTGGCTCTCCGCTCTCCCATGAGTACAAGCTGCTGTAGTATCTTTCTCCCTTCGAGCATAACAGGCACCGCGAAACCAAGCGGGTAATACACAGAGTTGACTATTGACAAGACTCCTCTCCTGGTGAATGGTTTCTCTGGCAAAGACACCTTGAAGGTGAAGGCATCTGTCTCCAAATCCCAGAAAACTCTGAGTGACTGTTGCACGGGCAGGGTATCACTGCGCAGGCCAAGATCACGAACGTCTTTTGCCTGATCTTCAGCGGGGAAGGCTTCCATGACTTTTGCTGAGTTTGACACGACTTTGTGTAGTCGAAGTTTAGCAGTGGCTAGGGTGGCTTGCGCACCTTTTACCAAGTCTATTGCTCCTTGGGTGGTTGGCAGCAAAGCCAAACCGTCATCTACGTAGAAATTGCAGCATATATATAAAATTCTTGGCCTCCTCGGCATATTCCTCCTCGCCATCTACAGCCGTTCTGCGTAGTCCATACGTGGCGACTGCGGGACTCGGTCCGTTGCCAAACAGGTGGACATTCATGCGATATTCTGTGATAGGCTTCGACGGGTCATTGCCTTCTAACCACAGAAAACGAAGGAAGTCTCTGTGTGCTGGGTTAACATGGAACGAATGGAACATTTGTTCCACATCGCACATCACGGCCACATTCTCTTTGCGGAAGCGCATTAGAACACCAAGGAGGTTGTTCATTAGGTCAGGGCCAGGCAAAAGCACTTTGTTTAACGAAACTCCACTAAACTCGCAACTCGAGTCGAACACTACGCGAATTGTATGTTTTGTGTTATGGTATGTTGTGAAATGTGCTAAGTACCAGGAACGGCCAGGGGCAGATTGTACACTGTATGGGAGTGTTACACTCACTTGAGATATGGGCGTTGCTGGTGAGTGTCTTAAGAAGTCCTTGTAGGTGCTGCATGGCTTGTGCTCTGTTGTTTGGCATGGTCTGACGTTCATTGCGGAATGGGAGGGGCATCTCCCA